TATACAACCCTGACTATAAAGTTCTTCATTAGTGCCTATAGCAGTAGGTCCTTGAACCATTTGGGGCCATAGAAGGAAATTCCAAACATGCAAGAGCTATAGAAGCATAGCACCTATGTAAGGTAACAGAATTATTAAATCTTACCAGTACAACTTATTTTTATGGTCTTTCTACCACTATTCATTAGCCTATGTCACTAATTTGTGTGTCCATCCATCCATCCATCCATCCATCTTTTTATCCAGTATTTTATGTCATGTATTACTTGGTACTTCAATATTGACATTAGAAAGGAATACATGGAAAGATAATAATAGATTTTCCCTGTTTTCTTAATTCATATTATTTGGTAAACACAAGTAGGCATTTAAGATAGTTGCTTTAGCATTGATAGAAGTCATTCCAAAAAGAAGTATGTTTTAATGCAGAATTGAAGCATTAAGCATTCTTTAACCAGAAAAGTTGTTTTTTTCTTTTTCCTCTCTCCCTCCCTACTTCCTTCCTTCCTTCTCTACTTACTTTTTTTCTTTTCTATTTTTTTTTTTTACTTAAAAAAAGGAATTTACAATAGGATTTGGGCATCTGGATGATTGGAGGGGGGCCTAAATGATTCCCTTGCCTCAACCTCCCCAATAGCCAGGACTACAGGTATGTGATACCACATCCAGCTGTTTGGTTTTTTTTTTTTTTTTTCTTTTTTTGTGCAGTAGGATATTGTTATATTGACCAGGCTGGTCTTGAAATCCTGGGCTCAAGCTATCCTCCTACCTCGGTCTCAGCCTCCCAAAGGGCTTAATTCCTCTTGAAGGAGGTTCATCATTGGATGTAATGATAGTTTACCCAAACCTTTCCATAGGATATGGATTCTTAAATTCTTCTTCTGAGTCAATGGTCCTTGAGGAGTCCTTTGTATTTGAAAAACACTCTAAAGTAATGGTTGCAAGATACTAGAGTGTGCCTGAGGCTGGTTCCAAAGCATGAACATCTTAGGAGGAGAACTTAGTATTGCCTAAATAAGGTACTTGCCACATGGGTTCAGTCACTGCTCTGATAAGCCACAATCTACTTCATGACCACAGCCACAGTGGCTTAATTTCCATCTGGGGCTTTGGCAAGCTTCTGATTGGACCTTTTCCTCCCAGATTGAGCCTTAGGCATCTCCTTCAAAGTCAAGTGATCCTGAGTTTTCAGTGAACATGGAGAATGGGTGATCCTGGAGTAGAAAGCACGAGGGGCACAAAGGACCAGATAAAAAGGAGATTCCTTTATACTATGGCATCTTCAAAGCAGGCAACTTGAGTTCATCTCTTAATTTAATTATCATCTTACCCCATGAAGTGTTATCATTTGCTTGGTAGAGCACTTCTCTCTTGTACCCACTCTCAGCTCTTATGCTTCACAATTTGGAGGATCTTGAGACTTTTTGCTTTATTACCTATGAGCACCTTAATTCCACTGATTTAACCAAGGGAACTAAGACCTGAATTCTGTGATTCTACTTATCTTTTCTTCACCCTCAAGGAAATCCAGTGCTCTTGCTCTCATTTACTCCCTTCCTTCTGGTGGAATAAAAATAGTGGGAGACTGCAGGTGGCCATTTCTGCCTCCTCCTTTTCCTTTTAGAATTCTTTCTCAATTGACTCACTTTGTCTATGTGCTATTATCTCCTGACCAGGAGGAAAGCAGCTTAGAACCCAAATACATCTTTATTTCTGGATCTCCTATCTTTAAGATGAGGGATTGAACCAAACAATTTCTGAGCCTCTTCCAGCTCTTCACATAACAAGGTCCTAGGGTTTTCATGAAGCAGAAATTCATAGGATTTTACATTTTAAAATCTAGATCTATGTGTATGTGTAGGGTGGGGTAGGGAAGAGTTTCAAAGGTAGATATAATCAAAAGGCAGTAGTCAGACATCAGAAATCCTTTGTTATGGGCTGAATTGTGTCCCCACCCCAATTCAAATGCTGAAGTTTTAATTTCCAGTACGCCAAAATATGACTGGTCTTGTCTACAGCCATACCACCCTGAATGTGCCTAGTCTCATCTTGGAAGCTAAGCAGGGTCAGACCTGGCTTGTACTTGGATGGGAGATATGGTTTTTACAAACATAATTATGTTAAAACAAGTGAATAGGGTAGGCCCTAATCCAATCTGACTGGTGTCCTTACAAAGAGGATATTTGGACACGGAGATAAAGACACAAGGAGAGAAGAAGGAGGCCATTTATAAGCCAAGGAGAGCAGCCTGGGCTAGGCCTCCCTCTCAAGGCCTTAAAAGGACTGATACCTTGATTTTGGGCTTCTTTTTTCTTTTTTTGTAAAGACAGAGTCTCACTTTGTTACCCTTGGTAGAGTACCATGGCCTCACAGTTCACACCAACCTCCAACTCCTGGCTTTAGGTGATTCTCTTGCCTCAGCCTCCGGAGTAGCTGGGACTACAGAAGCCCACCATAACGCCCAGCTATTTTTGTTGTTGTTGTTGTTGTTGTCATAGTTTGGCCAGGGCCAGGTTTGAACCTGCCACCCTCCATATATGGGGCCGGCACCCTACCCACTGAGCCACAGGCGCTGCCCAGATTTTGGGCTTTCAACCTACAGAAGTGAGAAAATAAATTTCTGTGGGTTATGCCATCCAGTCTATGGTACTTTGTCATGGCAGACTAAGCAAACTAATACATCTTTTATATCTGATTCCAAACTGCACACACACAAAAAGTTCAGTGACCTCCTCTCAAAGGTTACCTCATAGGCCTCATAGGTGTTTAGGCAAATACTGAATGCCCTTTGGTACGAACTGTGGACTTGACTAAGAAATATAGCCTTCAATCACAGCAGGAAGTGGAATCTGGGAACTTGTATGACACAATTCTGTCTTGCTGAGAATTGGGGGCTAATATTTAACTCTGAATTGACATAGGCAATTCTTCTGTAACAGATTAATACAGAATTTTAAAATGCACATGAAACTCTTGATTTTTACCTAGATATCTGAAATCTTTTACTCTTTTTTAAATTGCTTTTTGGGGGGCTGAGAAATGGTATGTCTTATTTGCTGCTTCTTTGATTTTTATTCTTTTTTTCATTCTTGCCACTGTCTTTCTTTGGGCTTTCTTGGGCTTTATATTTTTCTTTTCTATTTTCTCCATGTTCTTTTTAGCCACATTCCTACAACAGGTTATTTCTTCTTCCATCATGCCTTCATCCAGCTCCAGTAGGCCTCCTTCTCTTCATTCCCTCTATTACATCTCCTGCTTTTCTTTCTTGCTGTCTGTTCCTCTCTCACCATCCTCACCACTGTTTGCTTAGTTCTCCTCTCCTCCAGTTTTCTTTATTTTTACCTCTGCATTCAGCATTTCTACTTCCAATTTCCTCCTCTGCTCTTTCTTCCTTGCTCTGATCTGTTGACTTGCTTCTTTCCCCTCCTCCTCCTTCTGTTCCCCTTCTAGGCATTTCTTTGGCCCACCTTTCCTTCTCCTCTGAGATTTCATGTTCTTATTGGTGGATGAGAGCTGATACTATAAACATCACAAAAATAACTACATTGAGAACAGGTGGTTCTTTCAGTGTCCTCCAAGACAGAGCCTTGGGTCAGCCCAGAATGCCTGGGCTCCATACGATGCAGGAGACAGCATTGGTGTTGGAGAGGGCTCTGTATCTCAGTCACAAGACCATCATTCTAGAACTTTAGGACTCCTCACTGACACCTAATCCCGCCCCAGCAAAAAATTAAGAGGCACTGGGTGACCTGGAAAAAGAAAGAATGAACCTGCCTTTACCCCTCCAAACCTATGTTCCTGCCAAATTTCTTCTGTGGTCCTTGCTCCCTGATTCACTATTGAGCTCCTGTGCACTAGGTCCTGCCCAGTCCCCATCCTTCCCTACGGGTGGCACCCTGAGTCACATCCTTGCTAAGCCTTCCCAGTCCTCCCCCAGCCTCAGGTGCAATTTAGCGTAAGGAAGCAGCAAAACTGTCATTGTAAAATTGGTCTCTCATCTTGTGCCTTCTGCACAACATTAGCTCCAAATATTCAGACCACACCTTGGCATTTATTTTTCAACAAAGTTCCCAAGGAGACCCAAATGAGAGCTTTTTCTTTCCTTACTCATCTTTCTCACTTTCTTTTTCCTCTTTTACTATTTCTTTAGTTCTTTCTTTTTACTTAATGACTCAAGTTTTAGTTAATCCCTTCCATTCATTTGTTCATTTGTTCATTCTCTCATTCAACAAAAATCTATGAAGTGACTACAAGTGCACCAGATCCTTTATGCACTTGCAGTGGCACAGATGGTACTTCTAACATTTGTTTATGGTCTAGCTCTTAGAAAAAGACACCTGCAAATTTTGATCACTAGAAATTTCTAGGCGTTCTTATGGCAAAACAGAAATTTCTATTTTTAATGCATTTTTTCTTTAATTGTGCTTACACTGAATATGAATTCCAAATAGTTTCCATTAGTCTTTTTATCTCCTTTGCACAATTGCAGAGTCCCAGAACTTGAAAGGTTATATGGTTTATTATTAATTATAATTTTGACAGACATTACCACTGGTCTAATAGGTACTTTGTACAGGCAGGTGAGAAGCATCTTATAAAGTATATGCATTCATTTTCTTAATTTTGACAGCAACCTAATGTGGTAGATATTACTGTTATCCCATTTTACTGATAAAACTGAGTTTTGAATAGGTTATACTTTTTGGCCAAGGGCTTTTACTTGGTGAGTAGGATGGTTAGGACTTCAGTTTTGCCTGATACCAAAGCCTCTGTTTCTTTAGTCACTGTTTTCTAATCCTCAAATAATCCATAGTAGTGGAAGGGGAGATTTGCCATGCTGAATAACCATAGGAACGGTCATGTAATCCATCACTTTGGCTGGAATGGAGCTTTTCCGACCCATAAGTCAGGAGGCTATGGGGCAGAATATCTGTTTGGCCTACCCACATGTGTGGCATAGGTCACTGGAGGATGGCAGGATCCCAACCAGGTGGGCTTACCTTCTGTGTCTTGGGCATGTCAGTATGGCGTTGGGCACGGACAGAACGAGCAGACTTGGCAGGCTTGAGGGGTGCACAGTACATCTCCAGCCTCCTCAGATCACAGCTCCGGAAGCAGCACTCGTCCACAATGCCTGTCTGAGGCGCCCTTCGACTGCTGGAGCCATACCCCGTGGGCTTGTCTGTGAATCAAGCAGAGAAGCCTTGTCTTAGGGGACAATTTGCTAACATCACAGTCTTCCACACTATTCCTGATGCCTCTCCTCTCCCCACATCTCGTCAGCCTACCGTTCTCCAATGTCTCAACCTTTACTTGAACCTTCCCCAACAATTCCTGATCCCATGGCTCCTCCTGGATGTGTGTGTCTCCTGGAGTCAGTGCCATGCTCATTAACACTCACTCACTCAGCACACTTTTGTGTTAATTCTTCCTGAGTTTTCAGCAGCCTGCTGTCCTGGATCTTATCTATACTCAACTCTAGTCTTTCATCATATATTGCCTTACCTTTCATAGGATGGTAGGAATATTAACTAAAGGGAGATACATGCACTGTTTTGTTCATCACTTTAGCAAACCTGAATAGTATTTACATACAGGATAGTTCACATGTTTGGTTTTTTGCTTGACTGTACAGTCAGGTTGAACAACAAAGAAGTTTAAGTCTGGAAAAGCCTCCTGAGTTTACTGATGTGAAAACTGAGACTTGGGGTTGGGAATGACTTGCTTCAAGGTCATTCGGGCAGCAAGTTGTGGAGTCAGGATTCAGACTCAGATCTACTTGCTACAAAGCCCATGTGCCTCATTGACTGCAGGGCACCCATTAAATGGCCCCTTGACAAGTCACTTAAGTCTCTGGGCCTCAGGTTTGCTCATTTGTATAATGGAGTTAACAATATTTTTCTCTTAAGAATTGTTTGAGAATTACATGAGGTAATATATGAATAGTGATTGGCACAGCTCTTGACCCAGAATGGGCCCTCAATAAATATTGGTTTGCTTCCTCTGAGTAGCCTTTCCCAGGTCTTCGATGCTTTGTGGAGAAGCAGGGTCACTATTGACTGCATGTAGAAGCCCTGGGCCTTGAAACTGATAACAATGCCAAGGTGATAGGACTCCTTCTCCCAACACTTCCTGAGACCAAAACAATCAATTCTGTTTTCTTATCCAGACTGAGACAATGAACTAACTGTCTACCTTTCCTGTGATTCTGATTGCCCAGAGGGAATGCTATGAAGAACAATTCTTTTGATATTTACAAATCAATGAGATCTTTTTACTTGGCAAGTATGTTTTGGTTTGGTTTGATTTTGTTTTGGTTTGGCTTGGGCTTTTCCTGGCTCTAGATTTAAAAGAGAGGGCAAAACAAGTTTATATGGAACTTAAAATGTACCTGAGTTATTTGTAAACTTTTTGTCATAGCAGACATTTTGTTAAACCATATCTTATTTATGTATCAGTGTATGAAACAGACAAAAGTGAATCTGCTCTGGCTCAGGCAAGGGCAGAAGGCTTGGATCTTGGCCTTCTTTTCTCTTCCCTTATCTCCTTTGGTGGTGGTGGTGGGGGTGGGGTGGGGAGGGCTGTGTCTTCTCCACTGATGTCTAGGCTTTGTGGAAGAAAATTTGTAAACCACTACTACAGAAGAATCCAATCTGATGCATATTCAATCTTAATTCCAGACAGAAGAAAGCATTATATTTTAAATAGAAAGTCTTGCGTTTGCATAATAGTGACACCATATTTGAGGATGGGGTTATGAAAGTCAAAATCCTCATGTATTTTGAACTCCTTCAATGGGGGAGATCAGGCCCTTGGTAATGGCCTGCTACCAAACTAGTTTGGCCGCCTCACTGCTGGAAGGGCCAGCCGTCCATGGCATCCTCTAAGAGCTCAAATGTTTTCCTGATGCTTGGCACAGGAGCCTGGTGGCTGCTTCCTCCTGTGATGCAGGTTTATTGTCATTCTTAGGGCAGCTGGAGGTAGTAACTCAGGGTTCATTTGTGGTCTCTCTGGGCGGGATCTGCTGCTCTCTCACGGAGCAAACCCTGTGGGCTCCTCATGGTTGTGAGGCTTGGGAGGGACCCGCCCTGGCAAACCAGGAGTCAGCTGGTCCCCTGAGCAATGTAAACAATGTTTTTTGTTTTTTTGTTTTTATATCTTTCCTGGAACTATAAACTAGAGGAAAGATACAAATGGGCTTACAAGGTTCTTTGTAATCCACAGAGGACCTTTACATACTATTTGCTAAGTGGTTAGCCAGTGAAGTGTAGCTGATATACTTTGGTTTTTCTCCTGGGATGGGAAGGAAGCAGAAGGTGACTTGGCCTGTTTTGTGTTAACTGTCCCTGTAATCTGTCTGCCACAGGTAATGATTGCTGTCCATTGAAACTATAAATTTCTTAATGGGATGTAATTGGAATTCATGTGTTGATTGTGAAAGAGTAATTTGATGTTTAGGGGTAGGAATTGTTCCAGAAGCTTTCAAACTTAGCCAACTCAGAATCAACTGATTTCAAAATTCATGCTTTTGGATTGAACATGGAAAGGGGTAGGCTTTGGGATTCCAGAACCCATTAAGAATTTCCATTTTAAGCACTTCTAACTTAATCCTGCATCTGAGATCTCATAGGTGGTGGAGCTCCCTGCCTGCTACAGGAGACAGACACCAGCTTTCATCTCGGGACAGCAAAGAACATTTCTGTGAATTGCATATTCCCTTGTTGGCAACTATCGACATCCATGAAACTCACCCCAGATTTATTTCCTCTTTTAAAATAGAAAGTGGCTGGATGCCTTTAGTTCAAATGGCTAAGGAGTTAGCCACATATACCAGAGCCGGCGGGTTTGAATCCAGCCTGAGCCTGCCAAACAATAATGATAACTACAACCAAAAATAGCCAGGTGTTGTGGTGGGCACCTGTACTCCCAGCTACTTGGGAGGCTGAGGGAAGAGAATCCCTTAAGCCCAGGAGTTGGAGGTTGCTGTGGGCTGTGATGGCACAGCACTCTACCCAGGGGAACAGCTTGAGGCGCTGTCTCAAAAAAAAAAAAAAATTATAAAATAGAAAGTAATCATCATCACAGATAAAATAACAGCACACACCAGGCATCTGGTTTCTCATCTTTCTTAGATGAGCTCAGAGTAAGATATGGCTCAGCCAATAAAATAGCTATAGCTTTTTAACCTATAGATTGATGGATATAAGAACAGAGAATTTTAGAACTTTTCAGCAATGTTCCTTATGAAAGTTTATCTTATGCCTCTATCTGTTTCTTTGAAAGTGTAGTACACAGACTTAGATTTTGCCTTAAACATTATTACCAGTTATCTCTGGCTCCCACAATCCTGGAGAGATGTTTTCCTTTGTCTAAAAATGGACTCTTTATAGTTAACTGGGAATATTTGAATATAAGAAATCTTTACCTCTTGCTTTTTAAAGTTTAGTTCATTCTTAGTATAGTGCCCTTTAAGGCTTGATTTCTGGTTCTACATAAAGATATTAACAATCATCATTTTTCAACAATTAAGAGATTATAGTTGAGGGCCAAAGTTTTCTCCTGTATCTTCAAATACTGTACATTGTTTCTTTTTCCAGGACCATAGCAAAAGTATTTGCTACCTTTATTAAAGTTCTAAAACTAGAAGCCTCTAATGTGATTGATTAGAAAGGCAATTAAACAATTTTCTCCAGTATTTGAGATTTTCTTACTTGAGAAAAAAATCAATTATTGTCATTTTGACTAGTTTTTAAATGAGATGAAACAAATTGTTCCAGCCTTGCCTTTGGAAACTCTTCCTCAGGCACCAAGTAATTCTGCTTCAGTGGGAGATCAGAATTGGTAGGGGAAATATTAGCTTAACATAAGAACATATTTCAAACATTTTAAACTTAAAAGCGTTAAAGACTTATTTGAAAAGTAATGTACTCCCCATTGTAGGAAGTAAAAGCTGTATGAACACCTGTCAGAGATCCTCGGAACAGATTCCAATATTGAACATGGTGGATGACTGCTATGGTCTTTTCTGTTCCAAAGATTCCATGACAGGTGAAGAGATGAAGGAGCAAATTTATTTGAGCCAAACATTCAGTATGGTTAGAAGCCACTTACATTTTCTTCTAGAAAGAGTTTAAAATATTATTTAATTTAAAAGGTGAAAATTTGTTTCTTTTAAGTTTCCCCAGATACTCAAAATGTTTTATATTGCCCTTACTCAATGCTACAGAAAAGGACAGGTAACTAGGATAGTCCCTTCTACAACGAGGTACAGTCCCAAAGTTGTTGTATTGGCATTATAAAATGTCTGTGTATTCACTCAACTGTTAAAGTGAAAAGGAATGTGTAACATTCCACAGAATTTTTTCTTATGGACAAAGTCTTAACTTTGAAAATTGATATATTTATGTATTTATTTTGTCAATAGTTTTGTTTGAGAGGTTTCATAGAATGTGGACAACTTGGTCACCACCAAACCTAGACTTTGACTCCCCTATGAGTAGACACAATGTTTAGTCACAATGTACTGCTGTATCTTGAAAGTTGGCCAACAGAATTCCAATGGTTAAACAGTTGGCTTCTATAAGAATAGCACTTCCTTTTAAATAATGCATGGTCAGTGGAGTAATTCAATAATCTTCAGGGCAAACTTGCTAGTTATAAGGGTTTGGGGCAGAATTGTGGCATCATCAAAACCACACCAATTAGCTGAGTCTCACATTTTGTCATGGATGCAAACAACTCTTTCCCCTACCTCTCTGAAGGGAAATGTGTAATGCTGAGATTTAACTGGGGTCATCACTTCTAGAACAAAGAACTCTGGTCATTCATCACTGATAAAAATGGGACTACCTCTACTGGTATGGCATGTACGCTTAAGTTTCTTATGGGTTTCTGTATATCCAGCTGAGATATTATATTTGATTACTTGACTTTAATTTCCTTTGAAAATTTTGTTCTTGCTTACTGAGAATAACATAGTTAAGGCTCTGCTTTAATATGTTAACTCTATTATTGAAAAGGGAAGACACTGGTTTGAAGAATTGGTATTTAAATAATAAAAAATACAAACATTTTCCAAGTAGGAATACATCTACTTCTGAAAACATACATTGATACATGTTACTTTTTGGGTCCCAAGGGAAAGAACTATTCCCTAGAAATTTGCTAACACCAAGAAGTTTT